CCAAAAAATGAAAAAAAAAAGAAAAAGTAGTAAAAAGTATCTCGAAATAAGAGAGAATCGTATCGTTCTAATCTCAAGTATTTCTTTCGAAACTTAAAAATCTTTCGATTTGTTGAAACAAGAAAAAAATTTTAATCACACGCGTATGATGTATACAACGAGCAATATATAAAATATTTATTAGAGTTCTCGTTATAATATCCAACAGATATTTTATTCATTCCTGTAATGATATTCGTATATTAATCGTGTCTAATTAAATTAAATTTATTGTCGATAATTAAATTAAATTTATTTCGAAATCGAGCGACACTTCGCCCCCCGACAAACGTTAATTCATCGTCGAGGTATCGCGAGGCCGGTGTTCGCATTAAGAACAGTGAAAGCGGCTGGTCGTGCATTGTTCTCCGTCGCGTTGTTCACAGCATTGTTTCCTCGACGCATCGCGCGCCGCATCGTTTTATTTTCCTGTGGGAAATCGCGCCTACGCGAGAAAGATTTAGATCAGAGGTGGCTAACTGGCGGCCTGCGAGCCCTTTCCCCCACTTTCCTAAACGCTAGCGCTATCCCCTCCACTACCGCATCGATCTATCTACCAAAATCTAATACTGATTGCTCACGTTGCGCGTTAAATTTAAATTTTATAAATGATTAAATTTAAATTTTAATTATATTTATATTTAATTAATTAAAGATATTTAAATTTAAATTTTGTAGATGCTTAATTTTGAAGGAAAACTTGCAAATAATATGAGGAAATGTATGAAATTTCATTCGTTCTATATTATTATATACTTATATATATTATATTATACTATACTATATATTTAATTTACTTTATTTTATTATATTATACTAAACATATATTATAAATATATATTATACTATTATAAATATATATAAAATATATAAAATACTATGTTACACTACAGTATATGTATATTATACTGTACTAAATATATATTATACTATTATAAATATATATAAAATATATAAAATACTATATATTATACTAATATATTATAAACATATATTATAAATATATATTATACTATTAAAAATATATATAAAATATATAAAATACTATGTTACACTACAGTATATATATTATACTGTACTAAATATATATTATACTATATATATATATATATATATATATATATATATATAGAGAGAGAGAGAGAGAGAGAGAGAGAGAAAGAGAGAGAAATATAAAAATATATGAAATATATATATAAATGTATATGAATATATACATATATGACAACTAAATTTTGAGCATTTCACATAATTTTATATTTCTGGTGCAGTTTCACATCATTGAGTTCTCTACAAATGCACAAACAGGCCACGGCTAGGTGATAATAAATAAAATCATGGGACAGTGAATCCTTTATCGCCGAAAGAAAGTCGGAAGCATAGCGCAGGAGACAGCCTTTCCCATCTGGCGTGGCGCCAAATCAGTATGTAATTTACCGTCTCCGTTTTGCTTACTTCCGTGACGGTCACAATGTGTTCTCAGGCCGTGCGGAAAACTGGGTCAAGAATAGGTTGACGTGTCCAGACAATTTTCGGTGTTTGTCGAGTACACCTGAGTTACGATAGCGAATATTCAGAATATTCTGATAATTTTTATTTGAGCAATCGCACGATTCCAACAATCGAAAATAAATTGGCAATTTGTGAAATTGTGTTTAAAATTTTGTTTCTGTTTTGTTTTTTTAGAATTTTCCTTTCTTCTTTTCTAAATTAAATTTTTTTCTTTAAGTTCCATCATTTGGCCATTTTTCTTTTTTTTTTTTTTAATCTAATAACGAACGGAGTTAATATTTAACGTCACGTTATTTATACCATTGCAATTAATAATTATATCATCACGATTAATCAGTTAGAATTACAGTTTATACTGTAATTTTGCTTACCAATGGAAAGTCATTCAACGAAGACTTAAATAACGTGCAAAAAATTTTCTCGGCAAATTTCAGAATTTTGCGAGTTGCAATTTCCCGAGAGTAACAGACTACACTTGTAATAAAATATTTTTCTATGAATCACAAATCTAGTAAAAATGAAAAATCACAAGTCTAGTCGAGTAAAAAAAATTCGACGAAATAAATAATAAATTCGAAATGTAAAACTGCGCAAAACCACCATTTTCACTATGGTTAAGATTCCTTTTTATAGTTAATAAACTCGAAATGTGAACTATTATACATTCGATGCAATTGAAATAGTTAAGATTCTCTTTTACAATACACGTGACATGATAAACTATTTTTCGCAATTAATGTGCCCGATTTCAGTTTTTAAAGTTTCAAATTGCAGACACACGCTTTCGAGTTAACTTCGGCAGGAATGTTATTCTAGAATTTGTTAGGACGTGAATAATCGATCGTACGATTTCCTGCGGACGCATAAATAGGTTCTCTCGTCACTGGCACTCGTAAATCTCGTTTTTCCCCCTCTTCCGACGTGACTGTTCGCGATATGTAACGTAGTAATTGCTCGATGTTAGTCGCGTGTTATTCGAATCAATATTTTGCAACTGTCAGAACTGTTGCAACGCGGCAGAAAGACACGTTCTAATCGCTCGTTACATTTTAAGATCGTGTGATCTAGGTAAAACCGAAAAGAATTAGCGGCGGAATATTGTCAATTGACATTTTCTGTGTGAAATAACCTTTATCCATTCTCTTTTCAATAATATCCAAATCAAATTAAGTGAAAATTCATTGACTTAGGTCAACTAATGATTGAATCTTGACACGAGTCATTAAATCAACTATGATTAAATTTTGACGCGAATCATAGTTTTCACAAAAGGAAAAATTATGTTATTTCGAAGCGTTTACCTTAACGCAGGTCATCGTTTTTTTTTTTTTTTTTTTTTAAATATTGAAACATTTATTTTAACATAGTTTATCGTTTAAGAAAAACACGATGAATATATATTTTGAACCATTTTGCCTGATGTACGTCATGATTTTCGAGAAAACAGAAAAACATTCTTATTTCATCGTAGGTGATCAGATTTTCAAAAAGCATCTCCATTTCAATCTGTTCTTTTTTGAATAAATAAGTAACAATAGATAAACGATGTACTTCGTTGAAAAAAATGATGTAAAAGATTTGCAAGCATCTAACGTTAACGTTAAGTCGAAAGAACGAAAGTACTTTGACAAACAGCGTGTGTCGGTGCGTTTGTGAAAAATTGAAAGTAGAAAATATAGATGGAAAGAAAACACGCGGCGGCGCGAGAGTGGCCGTCGACCGAAAATAACTCTACAAGTGCGACCACACCATCTATCACTTCGCCACAGTCGCTTAAAGCTTCGCGCTTGCTAATCACGTGAGCTTAATTTAATATAACCCGTAATTTTTTTTTTTTTTTTTGTTTCATTTTACATTTGACACTGACGCACAGAGGCTTGCTCCCGAATTCGAGCCTCTGTCAACACGTTCGATCGTATTCTCTGCCGTTCGCTTTCAGCCTGATTTTCCACTCGCGGTATAATTGAGTTTCACGTCCAGTCAATAATCGAGCGGAAACTACGAAACGCGTAATTGAATTTATTGTATAATAGCATCGAACTTTTATGAAATATCGCGGGACGCGCGACCCGTTTTATGCATTTTTCTCGTCGCCGTTGCGATATTTCATGCGGAGTGCAGTTGAAAAAAAAGTATTTCAATGATTTCATTTCGTTCATCCGTTACCATGTTATTGCGTTTTATTACTATGCGTCGCCAAACTGTTATTTCAAAACGCAGAGTTATTTAGACTAATGGTAAGAAAGCGTCTTAGCTGCAAAGGGAAATTCGATTGGACGTTGAATGTTAAAAGAATTCCTTGTAAAATTGTGAAAGAAATTTCCTAAAGGAGATCCTTTCGATTTTATTTGTAACAGGATCCTCTTAATTCGTTCATTGTTTATTTACAGTATAATATGATCCCCTTAATTAAATTAATTAGTTGATCGGTATAATTCAATATTAAATTAATTAATTATGTATTTAAAACATGAATGTTGATCCATTCAATATTTACCATCTAGATTCATGTTAAAATGAAATTTTTCATATGAAATGACAAGATTTAGTTAATCACTATCACATATTTATTTAATGTCACGTATCTGTTACAAGATTATATTATTATTATTACGAAAATATTTAACTAGTGTAAAATAATATTTAACTGTAATAATAATTAACCATAAAAACCAACTATCATATATTTATTTATTGTCACATACTTGTTATCATTGCGAAAATATTCAACTATTGCGAAACAATAGAAAAAAGAAAAAAAAAGCTGGACTTCCAAACTTAAAAAGCAAATTTCTCATATGAAATGACAAGATTCGGTGAATCACTATCATATATTTATTTAATGTCACATGTTTGTTGTCACGTATTTGTTACAAGATTATATTATTATTATTATTATTACGAAAGTATTCAACTAACGTAAAATAATATTTAACTTCTACTGTAATAATTAAAAATCGTGAAACAACAAGAAAAAAAAGAAGAAAAAGAATGAAATTTTTCACGCGAGACAACAAGATTTAGTCAATCACTATCGTATATTTATCTACTATCGCATACTTGTCAAGATTATATTATCGCGAAAGTATTTAACCATCGTGAAACCGTAAGAAAAAAAAAAAAGAAAAAGAAGGAAACCGGGATTTGCTCGAGCGAGACGTGAATCAGTCGTCAAATTAGAAAGAGGAATAGGAGACGAAGAAAAGGTGGTATTACCGTCTCCTATTAATTCGACAATTAACCACCGCCAGGGGGGACAGCAGTGAAACAAGAGAGTAGGCTAATTTCTGGTTATCCTCGTCCATTCTTCGGTACTACGAACTCGAGTTCTTCTCCCCCATTTCTCGTGCGTCCCCGTTCTCTTTAATTTCTGTCTCGTCTCGTTCCCTCACCCGGCCCGATCAGCTTAATTAACTCGATTATCGTTTTCTTTCTTTCTTCCGTGTTGCAGGTGCGCACCTTGTTCGTGAGCGGCTTGCCGATGGACGCCAAGCCGAGGGAGCTTTATCTGCTCTTCAGAGCATACGAGGTGAGTCCTGATCTTGTTCTCGAAAAGTTGAACAGTCGTTAGACCAGTCGGCACCGTTGGTTGCTAAGAAAAAAAAAGGAAAAAAAAGAAAGAAAGAACTGAAATTGTTTCAAACAGAGATTTATTTATAGTATTTTTATTTATAGTTATTTATTTCGGTTTCATTTATTCATCCGGACAGGAATTACTTCAGTTTTATACGTTCGAATAGGAGTTGTTCAATGAAGTGGAAATTATTATATAATATTATGTAATATAAATATTATACAAATATAGTACTGTATAATATAAATATTATACAAATATAGTATTGTATAATATAAATATTAGACAAATATAGTACTGTATAATATAAATATTAGACAAATATAGTACTGTATAATATAAATATTAGACAA